ATTTATATAGAGGAAGATAGGTTAGGTGCACAAAATGACATATGTCACACAATGTCTCGGAACTCGGAACATAAGTAAACAGAACAGCACGCCTCTGAAATATGTCATATTTGTTTGTCTCATACAGGTAACAGATTCATTGTCCTTTATTAGCTATAACCGATATTGCCAAATGGTGACATAGAAAGGATTCCCTTTAAATGTTGAATGCATTATTTCATTCCTCTTCTTCAAGTGTTTAAATAATTTTTTAAAGAAAAAGGTTGAAATGATAAATTTAAAATGCGTTGTTTTAGAGCTGTTTCATGAAAACTACTTGATTTTCGTCAGGAGGAACATTTCCCATTGACCTGCCCAAAGGTGGTAAGCGGTGAGTACAGTATGGTGGCAGTACTATGTCATTTTTTTTGCAAAGATCAGTCCTTCAATCGAAATAACTTCTAACATTATGTGGATTAAAACTCGTGGCTTGGGTGAAGCTGGTAGTTTCAGGTGTTCTATTCTAAATGATATACAAGGAGGTCTCTTCATAAATGACGTGAATAAATCGGGACTAACTAGCTTATTCATACGGCTTATTCAAAAACGGCATGCTCGAATATCCTTGGGAGACAAACCGAAATAAATACTTGAAGCCATAAGTATGTATCTTTCTAATTCTTCCTTCTGTTCCTTCTTCTTCCTTTGATAACCGATTTTTGTTGATGGTATCGATAACACTATGATGTTTATCTCTTCGACAGTGAATTTTTTTACAAAACCGTGGCAGCGTGCGATAATAATTAGTCCCAAAATACTTCGCCTTTTTCACTTCTTTTGCAGCATGTAGCGTGTAAAGCAAGTCGATCAGACTTACTCATATGATGCCATGACATTGATATGATTTACTCTGAAACAAACAAAATTGTATGTAGCAGAAGCTCAAAAAGCCAACAAAAAATGCAGCACACATATATGGTGTTGATTGTCACATGTGACTATCAGCCCCCGTCAAGTTGAGACAACCAGCCCCATAACACATTTTAGAACATAACCCCCTAAAATAAGTCTGAACCAATATTAATTCATAAAAACGAATAGTGATACATATCATGAACCACAGATGTCACATCAAGAATACATGCAATGATAAGAATCTACGGAAAATTCTAGTACACTTATGAGACTCGACATATTTGCAAAAAAAAATACTATTGCTGTCCCAAAAAAAACAAATGAACGTATCTTCCTCACACAGAACTGAAGTGACGTTAGGGTGGAGATACTGCTCTTACGATCCTTTGATTTTGTTCGATAAACTCTTTAGTTCGTTCAATTTTCCCATATGGCCACTGTGACAACCAAGCCGTGAGACAACCATACTCGGTTTCCCCTAAAACTTGTCTTCTGTGCCTCTTCCATGTGATTTATATGGTTTTGAAACTGTATCGCTTAGTTTTCCTATTCTATCCCACCCGATTGTCTTCTTTCTCTGAATTTTCACGGTTTTCCAATATACCCAATACCTCAACCTCACTAATTACTGCAGTTGTTCCTTTCCACGTTTTATTCTGTGTATGGCTATTTTTTCCCCAATCATCATAATTCCACAAGTGAATTATTTTCTCTCCTCACAGCAATCCTCCCATACTGCAGAGGAATCTAACAACAACTGCTACTGAACCACGTAACCAAAAAACATCATTGAGAGTCATTCACGACTGAGTTACTGATCCCCTCAACATGACATTTTCTTCCTTTGGGTTTTTCAATATTCATTATGTAAGTCTAATCCCCGATGTGAGAAGGAGAATGAGCATTGAGAAACTACGAACTCTTGAAAACCTGATAACTTCAGTGTGTAAAAAGAAAAGTTTGACTGGNCAACACTGACATAAAAACTTGGCAAGTTGACTTGGGTGTCACACCAATAGGTGGTTCCACTTATGTTTCGCTTGCATTTACGCAGCTATTTTTATCAAGTACTTCCTTGGTTTTTCTCATTTTTTCTTCAATCGAGGATCGCCTGCCCGGTACTGACGATGCCCCATAGACTGAAACAGCTGTCTACTGATGGCTCTTAAATTGAAATCGATATGGGAATGATCAAAAAGTACTTATCTATTTATCGAAATCGAATCCACATGTTTCTAGAAACGATATGAAACTCGGAAAAGGCTAATGCAGTCAAGCTGCATGAAAATTAGAAGATAAATATATAGGTACTCTTCTGATCACTCCCATGTTGATTTCAATTTGAAAGCCACCGGTAAACAACTGTTCACGATGCCGAAACCAAAAAAAATTGACAGTCGCGTTTTTGAATTATTTCATAAAATGATTTTTTTAATGGAACACCCTATATTTTATCATGCATTTCGATTCGTAATAACATTCTCAACAACAAAGCTCATATCAACTATGAGGAAATATTTATTTCTTTCACTACTACAAAAATTCCTTTGTTTTGGCGAATAAAGAGCTATAAAACATCTAGTAAAGATTCAAAAACACCGCCTTCTTGTTGAACTCATATTTGAGCCCTTCTCTTGACACTACAAGTACGTGTTGCTTTCAACACAATTCGGCCATCAATTCTATTATTAATAGTTTCAATATAATTTTCAGTTCATTTACATTATTATGTTTCATTTTGTACATCGCATTCAGAAATCCCCAACAATAAAAATCTAGAGATTTCATGTCTGGTGAACGGGGAGGCCACTTAACAGGACAATTTGTAGCAATCCATCTGTTTCCAAAACAGTCTCGCGACATTCTTTTTACGCCACTAAAATTATGTGCTGGAGCCCCATCCTGTGACACGTGTCCGCGGTTTGCCCCCTTTTGGAGTGTTGTGTCTACGAATTGTTTCATTTTTGATATATATGTATATATAATGATAAAATAATGAAACACCTCTAGATTCAAAAATATTAATTGAACTTGATTTAATCGGATCGTGAAATCACTAAAACTGACTGATTCAGTTTGCTGCTATGTAAACGTTACTTAGTCCCGATTGTGAACTTGAACTGAACCGCTCATGGTTTTACCTAAGAATCGTACGTTAAAAGGTAACACCTCGTTAATCTTTATCTCGCTGCATCAAAAACTTCTTCAATTGTCACAATCTGAGAACAATGCCGTTTATCAATAACAGTGATCTGACGTTAGGATTTTCAAAATATTTTCTGCATACATTTGTAATTTCAAACATTGTCAAAATATTAGCTTTGTTAAAATATCATAGATCTGGCGATCTAATTTTGCCACCGAAGAAAACATACTCACCCCCGTTCTATCAATTACCTAACTGTGTTACTGTTTTGTGTGCATCATTTGTCATATTCCTTGGTAATTTGCACCTATTATTTGGATTAAAAAGAGAATTTCTACCAGGAATTTATTTGTTTTCTTCCACAGTCTACTTTCAAAAAAGAAATGACGTACACTACGCCCAGCTTGCAGCCTTTGGCAAAACTTGCATCAATATTTTGTATCCTTCCAAACTACAGCTTCAAGTACCGAGCAATTCAGCAAAATAAATGCTATACACTCTACAGATTGTTGATGGTGATAACTATTTTTGCAGGTTTCATTTATATGATCTACTCTCGATATGAGAATGCAGAAAATATATACGGAACAACCAGCTCACTTTTGATATATTTGGAACTTTCGACAGACATTGTGGGACTCTTGATATTTCTACTCTCAGCATCTAGATCTTTCTCGAGAAAATCGGAAGAGTGGAAGGAGCTGATCAATTGTTTTGAAAATCTTGAGAAACCTGAGAAAACTAGAAAATTATCATTATCCAATGTCTTCAATCAGAGTAATTCTACCTTAATACTGAGCAGTCTTATCTACTGCGTAGTAATATACATGGAACTGATGCTAAACAATAGGAAATTGATACAAAATTTACAATACTACGGATTTTCTCTTCTGGTAAACTACGTGGAACTTGTTCAGATTAATATTATATCAAAATTATTCATCTGCATCAAACATAAATTCAGGGATATTAACGAAATACTGATGAAAACTGATACAGACATTTTCAACGTTGAGAGAAGAGTAGAAAAAGTTGAAAAACTTTACTTGGTTATGGACGGACTGATAGTACTGATGAACAGCTTATTTGGTTGGATTCTCTTAGCCATGTTTTTTCACATAAGTTTGATGGTACTTCTTGCTCTGACTGTACCTGTCATCCACAACTATCTTACAAAAAACACATCGACACAATCCGATACTGAAATTCCGTTTGGGATATATTCGGTGGTGAGTAGAGCAATGAAAATTATATTTAACAAACAATCAAATTTCGTTTCTATCAAAAAACAAGATTGAAATACAGGTAATTGCAAATTTTCTTACAGAGACACACATCGATATTAGAGTCTCGCAACTTGTAGAAAACTCCAAACTCTTCGTATTGTTAGCCTATGGGTTTTTTATGAATGAGGACCGAACTTCCACTCACTTCAATTTAACTCATTTAACTAACTTTAATAACATAGGTATAATTCAAGAAAACCTACCTTTCAACAGCTCCTCTTTGATAATATAGTTAGTGAGCTAANCTATGTATTGGTTTTTTTCGCCTTTGAGAATGCCGCTAACTTTAAAAGTACACAATATCGTTTACTTCGACCATACTATACTTCATTGATACACTATTCACATAGGTATCCACTTTTGGCACTTGATAGTGTCTTCTATGTAGCTCTAGTGGTTATTCTAAGAGTAGGACTAGAACTTTTCTAAATTTTCCTGGGATTTGTTACCCTTCGAAAACAATTCCGTTTTATGAATCGTAATGAATATTTTTTCAAGTTAACTGGCTCCGCTGTCGATATCTGATATCAAAAGTATCCAGATGTTTATTGGAATTCATCATTATGATCAATATTATTATGTTAAATATATCTGGCTTTATGGGTTACTTGCAACCCTTCCATGTAATACTTTACAATTAAGCTACCATGCATCTGATAATTCAATTGTCAGTGAATGTGGAAATATCAAATTAACCACAGTAAATTATTTACAGCTATTTATAATTGTTGGCAGCGGTAATAGGATGAGTGAAATCTACTTTCAGGGTTTTTTGGCCTTGTATGCAATTCCTATGTTTAACGTTTTGTCTACAACTGCGGATGACATTATCAAAGATTATGTGGAAACTATCGCAGTGCTCTAGTTGGTGATCGAGTTGTTGTTCCCGTTCCGAACACGGTAACTACGATGATGTGTTTGACTCTGGTTTTATATTATCATTAGTGGGCGTGGCGTGGGTTCTCTTCATTGGATTACCTAACCTTGTTTATTTACCTATAAGGACAGGTGGCCAGATTTTATTGATGTTCATTGCCTCTTCTTTTCTGTTGAAATTATCTCTGTGTTTTTGAATTTCTATTGCCTCTCTACGAGTATACCTATAATCTTGCATAGTGATTTTGAGTTCTAGCGAGTATTACTGTATCTTCGGATGAGATAATATAGTATGGTGTTTTTACGAACAAACGGATGGTGCGGATCTAGTGTTGAATCAGAATTTGTACTTGCGTTGAGTGATTTCCAAGTTGAAAAGTAAGGAAAAATGATTGAACCTTGCTTAGAATCACCGAATGATATAAAAAATATATTTATGAAATTAACGAAAACGAAACGCCTCACTTCTCGTAAACAATCACGAGATGTTTTATTTTTTGTAAATGATTACCGAATGTGCCTTTTATAACTATATTTTTATATCATTCGCTAATTCTTGTCTCGGTTCAGTGATTTTATCATACTTTTCAACTCGGAAATCACACAACACAAGAACAAATTTCCATTCAGAACTCTGATCAGTCATTACTTTATATCTTCTGCATCCATGAAATCACTCAAAGTAAATGGAGCAAAATGAATGTATAGAAGACGCCAAAGTGACATGCTATGTGATGAATAGCATCCTTGATTAGTGAAAATATTTGTAGATTCGATACTTTTTCATCGAAAAATAATGAAAACAATGTTTTAATGAAATTACCATTGCTCCACAGCCAGCTACGAGAATTGGCAAAAAAAATATAACAAAAACAAAAAAAAAATAGAAAAAGTAATACACTATACACCTGATATCAATCAGCATTCGAATAACAACAAAAAA